TTTTTTAGGTTAAGTATGAATACAATATCTACGATGCGAAAATTTTGAAATCCAATATGGAGTCGTGTAATCACAATTTTCTAGAGTAAAATATAAAATGAAAAGATGATGGAAAAGAAGAAACAAATTATTATTGTAAGATGAAGATGTAAATGAAATACTTGTTGTCATTGTCACCATCTTGAAATTGTTTTTCTTCTTTTGCATTGTTTTTTTTTTTTTTTTAGGTTAAGTATGAATATATAATACTTACGATTTAAACATTTTGGGAATTCATGATTCCTCCATATAATAAGATCGTGTAACTAAATTTTAAAGGGTTGAAGAAATTTAAAGTAAACGTACAAAATTCCATGGCATGGGGTGATACGAGTTGAAAATTCATTCAAAACCAGTTTGGCAACGCTACGAGTGTAATATGTCTGTGAGTTTATGAGAAAGATTGTGAGAGAAGATATTATTAGTGTTAGAGTCTCTCTCTCTCTCTCTATATATATATTCTCAGAATGTTACGAAAATTTTTTGTCCTTGGATAAAAGGACAAAAAAATATTCAAAAAAAAAAGAAAAAATCCTTCATAAGATGAATGAAATTTTTGAAATTAAATTTGAGGTTATTTTTCACACAAATCTCCTAGACAAAAATAAATCGTTAACATTGATTAATAAATTATTGTAAAATTATAAAAATTGATATATGTCAAAATGAAAAAAAAAAAATAAAAAAACAATTAAGAAAAAATATGAAACCCCAAATTTGAAAACCCCATATTATCATAATTCTATTATATAAAATAGAAAAATAGAAAAATAAATCAATGTGTGCGTGTGTGTGTGCTTGGTGTAAAATTAATTAATAAAAAGAAAATAAAAATCAAAGAAAACAATAAAAAAACTATTATAAGAAAGAGAGAGAGAGAGATATCTAACACCGTGTGTGTGTGTGTGTGTGTGTGTGTGTATTACTCCCATCATACCCCCATCTTCTTTCATTTAGGCGATAAATAAATCGGAGAAGGAGTGGTCTCACGTATGGGATAATAAAATAAAGAGAAAGAAAGTTTTAGTAGTTGAGTGAAGTTGTAGTAGTAGTAGTGATTGGTAGCGGTTGAGATAGTGATGGTAGTAATGGTAGTAGTAGTGGTTATGGTGGTGATATGGTGGTAGAGTGTTAGAGGAGGGAAGGATTTATAGACGGTAATAATTGACGGTAACATCACGAACGAGAGTGTAACACACAAGACATGTTGGAAAATGAGAGGGGGAGTAATACCATACATGTGATGATGATGTGTGTTATATGTGTACATATATACACAAATACAAATATATATACATGTATTTACGTGTGTTGCTCATATAAACAAATACAAATATATATGTTTCCATGTATGCGTATATGTACTAATATAATATATACAAATACAAAATACAGAAATACAAAATACTTTACAAATATAAAATACAGAAATACAAAATATAGAAATATAAAATACAGAAATACAAAATATAGAAATATAAAATAATATACAAATACGAAATACAGAAATGCGAAATACAAAAATGCAAAATACAGAAATACAGAAATACAGAAATACAAAATACAGAAATACAAAATACAGAAATACAAAATACAGAAATACAAAA